CCTCAACCTTCAAAGGTTGGTTTCTTAAATTACTCTTATTTGTAAACATCTTCCTAATATAAGTCTGTTTAAGAATCTGACTTCGTTATTTCTTGTCAGATTTCTTAAATCAAGTATACAAAGGTGTGTTTTCGTTTGCAACATATTTTCTGGTAGGTATTTCATTTTAGCATTTTTCATAATTTATCGTTAGTCACTTTTCTTTCTGACTTGAATAATGTGGTGTTTTGTCTTTAGCCCTGTTGAGGAGGACAGAGATGCAAAGATAATCTCAAAGGATGAGAAAGGTATGTTTCTTTTCGAAAATAGAACTTTAATGACTGCTTGGAGAAACTGTTTTTGTATTGGATGGGGTGTTTCAGTGGAAAAGCATTAGAATCTGTGCAGTTGTTAAATACCATAAATTATTCATCTCTTTCTGGACTTTTAAAATCTATTTATGCCAAAACCCCCTATTTTCCTTTTATGCATTTTTATGGATATCTGTGTCGCACCCTTTTGTTTGTATCTTGATCTTCAAAGGTAGACCTTAATACGTGGCAAATATGTCCTTCATGGCACTGAAGATGCTTACCAACAGCTGTTAGTGAGTCAAGAGCCTTTCGCAATTGTGTTTCCTTTACAATATGCTCGTGAGTCTTCATACCATCTTCTGTTTTGCTGAACTAATTTGGAATCTAGTATTCACGTATTTAAATGCCACAGAAACTTCCAGCTTAATGTTGTCTTCAAATTAGGTCAACGTTATTAAATCTTTGTCCACGCGGATTCTATTTATGGTGCAAATATGCATCGTAACCAAGATGAAAATTTCTTGATCAACAGTGTCAGGTGCCTGCTCCTTCTTTTCATCATACTTCTTCCTTTTAATATGTCAGGCTGCTGAGTCTTTGCAGCTCACGCCACCTCTCTATTCTCTCCTACCTGACCAGAAAATTTAGAGCTGATTGTTAATGTTGTTCTTACGTACTGCAGGCAGGTAGTTCAGCACTGTAAGTATGGAAGTTCCAGCAATTCCTATAATAGGCAAGAAACCCATTATGAGATCTGTCTGCTGACTGGACAGGAAGAATTTGTTTGGTTTTAATTGGGTTTTACAACACAGACTGAATTCATCGTCGGCTGCTTGTTCCAAGATCCAGGGTTATACCTATCTGTGCAAGCTACTGGACCTCACTGTCAGCTCCATTAGGGTCTGTTTACCTCTTGCTTACAGTCTGTAATCTTGTGTTCTCTTATTTCAGAATATTTAAAGGAGTATTTTGTGCATGCTGTCATTTACCCAAGGACTTGAGTGTATTTTTTTTGTGGACTGGGAAAACTCTTCTTGAAGTTTGCATTCAAAACAGCTTTCAGGAACTTGAGTGTCTGATAACAACCTTGCCCCTTCCTCCAAAGGATGTGCTGTGTTCCATAACATTTGTTTAAATCATTTTCTGGCTTAGTAAACAGCACTGGGGAGAGGTAGCTACTGGATTAGGTAACTCAGTGTGCAGAGCAAAGCAGTTGAGCCAGAAGAAAGGTACAGAACTATATACAAGTCAGTTCTGACTCGTACGTTGCTATTTTCTGACTCATACATTGCTATTTCCACACTTGTATGAAAGGATTTTATTTAGGACAAGCAGTTTTCCATGCTCCGTGCATTCACTACGAGAGCTGTATTAATAAAGAGTGTAGAAAAATAAACTTAGGAGCTCAGAAGTGTGTTGGACTTGGCAGTTGATTTACGCATGTCTGAAAGATGTCTCCAGCGTTGAGGGTTGGTTCCCAATACCTGTATCATTCTAGTTTCTAAGTTAGAGAAGATTTTACAGTCCCAGTCTTAGAAGTGCAGTACCATTGCAGGAGCACCTCTTTAAGTCTTACGGGAGGGCAAAAAGCGGAGATGTTAAGACTGATCAAAGCTTATTCAAAAAGGACATTAACATAGTTTAAATAATCTAAAAAATCATTGGTAAAATAGAAGAAAGAAGGAAGTGCTCGTTTTTCTCCAGGATGCCAGTTTTAAAATTCTAGAGGAAGCATGTGGAGTAAAAGCGTCAAAGCTACAGTTCACCTTTTGGAACACCAGGACAGTGTATCTCCTGTGTGTTTGCACACATCACACACCTTTGTCCATGCAGTTCTTGAGACTAGATGACAGGTGTAGACTTAGACTCCTTTATACAAAAGACCTCTTTTTTTTTTTTTTTTAAAGAGATTGGCACAAATGATTACATGCTTCCCTAAGGAACTTGTATAAATATTAGCAACAACGTTCTCAGTACTAAGCTCGTGTTTGAGACAATGACAAAAATTATCAGAAAGTAAGAGATGGACAGACATCCGAGTAAAGTAGCGTTTTAGAAAGGTTCCGGAAGGAATGTCTCCCCTCAATGAAAGCAATTCTGAGAAATTCCATATATCACCAAAAAAAAAAAAAAAGGCATATGGTTTGGAAGCAGGTAGCTGGGCTGAAACCTGCTTCACTCCGTGCACTGAAGCCTTGGAGCTGAACACTACCAAGACTGATAAAAGACATTGTAAAGACATTTAAAGACATGTAAAGACATTTCAAAGGAGACTGGAAACGCTATCCCTGCATAAGTGCTTCATGCTGAAATGCAAACGCTAAAACTTGGGAGTTCAGCTCAAACACTTTTTAATCACTAGATGTTGGGTTTTCAGACTTTACAAGTACATAAGCATTTATAAAATTATCTTTCTGGTTTAGATGCCAAATTGGGTAGGTGTTCCATAGTTCTTGCCTAGTTAAAGAAAGCTAGGTCTTTTTTTGCTCCTGTGACTGAAGTCACAGGCTTCATACCCCAACTGTGGAATCTGTGTGGGCAGAAATAGGAGAGAAATTTTCTTCCTTTCTTTATGGTGGATGCCTTTCCTTGAGAGGTAGGATTAATCTGCATCCTGCCATCATTCCTTTGGAGCTGAGGAGATAAGGAGGGCAAGACATGAGCGTACATGGGTACTAACACAGTTCCTGCAGCTCTAGCAGGTCTTCTGTCTTCTCCTGTACGTGCAGAGTTACTGGGATCTATCCAGGCACATTCTGATGAGCCACAGTTATTCAGAGATGCCCTAGTCCGGTTTCTTTCTTGAAGAATGACATGACGTACTTCCGTTGCATGTATCAAGCTCGCAGTTCCATCTTAAAGCTTTTGGACTTGTACTACTACTTGCCTTCAGGAATGTGAATCATGGGGGGAGAACGTTATGCATTGCATTTCATTTGCTCTGTGATTTAAAAAAATAAAAGATTCGTGGAACTGCTCCTTTTTAATTCAGAAGTAGTTATTGAAATAATTAGGATTTGGGGTATGTTTTGGTTTTGTTTGTTTGTTTTCCTAAATAGGTCGCACTGCTAGCGGTTCTGGTAGAAACTTTTGGGTGAGTGGACTGGCTTCCACTACCAGAGCTACAGATTTGAAGAATCTGTTTAGCAAATATGGGAAGGTAAGGGGTTTTTTGGTTTGGTTTGGGTTTTTTCACTTGAAACTGTCTTAATAAGACTTCTTAAGCGCCTGTCACTGAAAATACCAGTGAAAGGAATCAAATAATCAAACATATTGTGGGATATCAAGCTAAAAATTGCCAAAGTACATGCTGAATGACTGCTTTTTTATTCTGTCTCTCACTTCCAAACAAATTTAATTTGTTAATTTCCATTTATGGTACTTTATTTGAAACAGTCAATGACTGTTTACATATACTTCTGTCTCCTGTGCTGTGGTATAGTATCTTCACCTGTTGCAAATTCGAATTCAACAGTGAATTTAAGGTTGTTTATTAAAGACTTCCTTAGGACTGAGTAAAACATGCAGTAAATGTTGAAACATAATTGGGGAATAGCTTAAGAATTGTCTTGATACCTGAAGTTTTATTTTTGTCTAGAGTTGGCAATTGCTTTTAAAAAACACTTGTTTGGGTAGTTTTGGTGGGGGCCAGGTGTTTGGTTTGGTTTGGGGCTGGGGGGGCCCTGCGGTTGTTACTAATGATAGAGAAAATGGCAAGTTAAATCTCCCTGTCAGCTGGGCAATTGAAAGAGCTAGTTTAATAGAAGACTGATGTCAGAGACATCAGTAAGGACTTTTGTCAAACCTTTGAAGCCTATTTGTAAATTACTGTCAGCAGATTGTGGTTAAAAAATCCGGTATGTGCTAACAGTCTGCTATTGAATGTTTAACTGATGAAAATACTCTAGAACTTAAATGTGACTTTACAATAGGTACAAAAAGGGATTAAGTGTAGCACAGCTTTGAGTTTGTCTGAAAGTCATGAGACTAGGAAAACCTTTTTAACGTTCCTTGTAAGAATAAAAATGCAATACTCTCCTTCTATTTATTTGTTCAGAATTCCATCTGGTAATCTGGAACATTGATCATAGAGATGTACCACAGAATTTTAAATGTAATTAAAAACTATGCAACAGCCAATCTAGTATTTGCCTCTGTTTAGATGCCATGGTAACATTTAGTTGTTTAAATAAAATTACTGTTATTTTCTTAGGGGTATTAGCAGAGGCAAAGCTTCCTAGAAGTAGATGTACATCTGCAATAAATCAAATGCCCAAAGAATGTTCTTTATTCAGCTGTCCTTTAAAACATGACACCTCTGTGAAATGATTGATTTCTGTAATACAAAGTGAGCTGTATTGACTATATGAGCATAAGTAAGCACCATTTATGAAAACAGGTGTTTTCATACTTTTTGGGGAAACTTACTGTTTCCTAAACAAGATTGTAGATAACATTGTGGGTCTGCCTCTTAGCAGTGACGTGAAAACATTTTTTCGAGGGGAGATGGGACTTAGCAGTTGAGCTAGCATTAGCATGTAAGTTATTGCATGCTAATGCATGTTAGTAAGTTGGCTTAGAAATTTTTATTAGGTTTTTACTCCTTTATACTTAAGCAAAATGATGCTGTTGCTGTAAAGCTAGCCTCTCTTGGCTTTTGTTTGGGTTTTTTTCTGGCTTTCTTCAGAACAGGATTCAGTCTTTGGCTCCCATCTATTGATTCAGCTTTTGCAGCGTTGCATTGGCAACAGAAGCATGATTGCCTCCAAGCAATGCTCCTTTCGTATTTGTTAATCTCTTAAAAATAGAACTTTCCTGAATTATGAATGACAGGAATAAAACAGAATAGAAATGGAGCTTGTACTTCTTGCTCTTAAATGGCGGGCACTTGTTACAGCGTAATACCTCTTTATTTTGGAAAGGTGGTAGGTGCAAAAGTGGTCACCAACGCGCGCAGTCCTGGTGCTCGCTGTTACGGCTTTGTTACGATGTCTACAGCTGAGGAAGCAACAAAGTGTATTACTCACCTCCACAAAACAGAGTTACATGGGAAAATAATTTCTGTAGAAAAAGTGAGTACTGATCCTCAAAGATAGCCCCTTACCATCAGATTGTACAAATGATTGAGACCACATTCTCAGCTGACGATGTGCAAAATAAATTTCAGGCAAAAAATGAACCTGCTGGGAAGAAGCCAAGTGAAAAAAAAGAGAACGAAGCAAAGAAGGAAACAGTCGGTGAGAGGTACTGTTCTAAAAGTTCTCTGTCCAAAGGTGTTCGTCAGTCTGTGTTGATTTGTCAGGAAAAACAAAGTTACAGTAAGAATGTCTGTGGCAAACATTCAAAAAGAGTGATAGTTGCATTTTTCCACCTTTTACTACAAGATAAACTTCTGTTGATGTTCAGTGCCTAATTTCACACATTTCTGCTGTGTGCTTTAAGGTAGGCATTGGAAAGTTGCATTTTCAGGTATGCCTTTTAATTCAGCAATGTTTGGTTTTTAGTAGCTTGTGGTGCTTTCATGTCGTAAATCTATAGGAAAGGCCATCTGAGAATTTTGATCAGTATGTCACTATTTCTTCGTTAAATTGTTCTCTTGGGAATAGGGCTTTCTCAGGTGGTTGTGGTCACAGTTAAAGATCAGTTGTCCAAGATCCTGTTTCCAGAACATGTTCCTCTTCAGCACTATGCTTTTTTTCTGTAGCATTACTGAAAGTACCTGAAAAAGACACTAAGAGAGTGAATAAGATACTAAGTCCTTTGCTTTAATTATCTTCTTGAGGCATAACTCCTATTAAATGCTATTTGCTGAGAAGTGCTTGCCTTTGTTTCACCTAGTTGCCTGACAAAAATGGTTCACATTGGCACTGCGTAATTGTCATGTTGTGTAAGAAACTTGGGGGGCACTAAGCACAGGGTGGTGTGAATTTTTCCTTTTGCCTCCAGGTGAGATATCTGAATCACAGCCGAGTTTTTATGACAACTGCACAGCATGGTCTGATTGTCTTATTTTATGGTGTAGGAAGTTGTAGGAAATCTTTGGAAATCTAATTATGACTGTCTTACTGCATCAGAATTCTACTTTGTTACTGTGTTGCTAGCATTCTCCTTTTAATTTTCTTTTCTCTTACTCTGTGTTAGTCTAATATATGTATCAATATCTATCTATAGACCTGGCAGTGTTAAAAGGGATGAGAAACCTGACCAAAAAGATGATCCTAAAAAGACAGAAGACAAAGATGAAAAGGAGAAAAAAGATAAAGATGAACCGAAGTCTGGTTCATCAGATCAACCTAAAACTATTAAGTCGGGTAATTTGGCTATTCTTTTTTTCATAGAGTAAAAGACATGGTGAAGTATGAAGAATTAATTGTAGGGAGTTCTTTCCAAAGAACTGCCAATATTCTAGAATTATTTTTGGTTCTTAGTTGGAGATTCAGAAGGTATAAAGAGGTGGCAGGGGGGTGGGGGAGGAGGAGGTTGACATTGTGTCATCCTTAACAGAAGCACTTGGAATAGATGTAGTGAAAAAATGATTTTTGAAGAGAAGGTTAAATGCCCGTTTTCACATTTTAGAGAACATAACTTCTGGCATAGCAATGAGTGGTGTAGGTTATGTCATTTGATTGTTTTTTCCATCTCTTTGCCCTCAATCTCTGATTTATTTAGGAAGTAAAGGAACGGAGAGAACAGTAGTAATGGATAAATCCAAAGGAGAACCTGTTATTAGTGTGAAAACATCAGCTGCATCAAAAGACAGAGTAAGTAATGTTTCTGCATGGGAAACATTATGTGTCAGGTTTTTTCTTAGAAACAAATACTGAATCCTACCAAGCTACATATAACCCATGCTTGTCTTACCAATTTGTCCAATTAAAGTTTCTAGAATGTGGATTTAGATCTTAATTAGTTAAATAACTTTCATACGGCTGATACCATATTCAGCAACGAAATCCTGCAACAAATGTGGGAAGGTAGGTATTACTGTGTTAATATATGGTGCGTCTGTAACGTTAAAAAAGAACAGCTTTTTTGAAAAATGCGGGGACCAAGCTTTGAGACGTGATATGTATGAATGGAAACGGAGCTTAGAGTATTGTTTGTGATAGTTGTCCTTTTATAAGTGTACTCCATTAAATTTCTCTACTTCAATGTTAAATACAGAGCATTAAGAGCCAGGATCGCAAATCAGAGAGCAGAGAGAGACAAGGCATTGTGCCATTTGACAAAATTAAAGCACAGCGAAAAATGAGGGAGGCAGAGCAGCGCCGGTAAGAGCAACAGTGAAATTGTTTGAAATTTTTTTTTTTTTTTTCTAGAATTAATATGATTTTCTTTATGACTAAGAGACAAGAAGGGGTTTGATTTGTTGTTTGCTTATAATTTGTTATATATCTGTTGAATTGGGAAAGCTCCACTTATTGACTCTATTACTAAGCTTGAAATTGTGTTTGGGGAGAGATATTGTAGTTTGGTTTTTTGTTCTTCTCCCATTTTGTGGATTTTGTGGTTTAGATTGATTTAAGTATGCTGCTTTCTTCAGCTGAGCATGAATTATAGTAGAGGCGAAACGGTAATTCTAAACTTGCCACACTCAAATATACAGGGAAAGACCAGGAGGAAAGTGTCTTTCTGAGAATAAGACCTTGTCTGTCTTGTCATAGCATTCAAAGTCTCCATAATGTTTGAAATAAAACAAGATGAATATTTTTTTGTATTTAAATACATGTGTCTGTAGAGAAATTGGGGGATTTTCCAGCAACCCTTCAAAGTTTCCACGTTGTATCTTTTTAGTTGAGAACCTAATTCAGGTATTTAATTATTTTTGGTGGGGTTTTATTTCTGTTTTCATTATGTTTAATAGAGGATAAAGGTGGTAATGGCCATCCTTCAAATTCCTTGCTAGAACTATAACCTGAATTCCATTAAAACATTTTCCACACATTACAAGAGTTTATTACTTACCTAAAGTAAATTGAATTGGACAGGGGGGAAATGCTTTCATCATTCTTACTGGAGAGGAAGAAGTTTCTCTCTCATATGTAGATTTCTGAGCTTTAGTGGAGTCATACTATCCAGCATACTGGTCTGGCTTCTTCAGAATTGGATATTTTATTTCAGTAGAAGGAGTGACCTTTAAGGCATTTGGATTCAAATTCTCCTGACCATATAGGATTATTTGCCCCCACAGGTGGGTTTTGTGGGAGTAGTATGATCAGTCTCTAAATACAAGTAATTCATGTGTCTTCCCTCCCACCCCCCCAGGTATAATTTCAAGGAGCTGACGCAAGTTTGCAGTCACTGTGGTTTTAATTTGTAATGCTGCTTTTTCTTTTTTTTCTTTTTTTTTTTCTTCCCCCCCTTTTTAACTTCCTTTATTTTTTAAATTATTAGATCTGTAACCTTTTGTTTCTGTTAAAATAGCACACGTGAGCGTCGGGAGAGACAGCAGCACCTGCAGACTATCCGGGAACGAGAAGAAAGGGAGAGGCTTGAGATTGCTCGTGAGAGACTGGAAATTGAAAGGCAGCGTCTTGAACGAGAACGGATGGAAAGAGAAAGACTGGAAAGAGAACGAATGCACATAGAGCATGAAAGGAGAAGAGAACAAGATCGCATTCAGCGAGAAAGAGAAGAGCTGCGACGCCAGCATGAGCAGCTGCGCTATGAACAAGAACGTCGGTCTGCAATGAGAAGACCATATGACATAGATGGCAGGTAAAGCCAGCAAATACCAATGATGCAAGTGGAAAACGTCGCTGCCAGTTCTGTCTCACCCGCCTGTCCTATAAAAAGCTCTATCCATATGCTCTCAGCTTCCATTAATCAGCAGTTGTTGATTGCATTGAGATGATCGTGTTTAATAGCCCCAGTCAAACTGTTCTCTCTGAGGTTTTTCAACTCCCTTTTGAACTTAATTACCCTTCTTTTGGTTTGCACGGTTTGGAAGGAGGGAACAATATCAAACGTCATTATCTTGACTAAAATGAGCATGTTCTTTCTTTCAGGAGAGATGATCCGTACTGGCCAGAGGCAAAACGAATGGCAATGAATGATAGGTACCATTCAGATTTCAGTCGCCAGGATCGCTTCCATGACTTCGATCACAGGGATCGTGGCCGTTATCAAGACCATTCAATAGATAGGTTGGTGTCTTACCTCCACTGTGTTGCCTGAAATCAAAAGGCGCAAATGCATTTAATGTCACATTTTGCTGCCTTTACTGTGTGTTTGGTTTGCATTTTATTTTTTAAGTGTGGCTTAGTGGCTGTGGACTTTCTCTTACATAACCATGAAGAGATCTGTACTGCGCCATGAGTTAAACCTTCTGGCAGGCTTCTTCAGAGTATTCTGCTTGCAGTGCTGTTTCACGCATTTGTAGGATTCTGAAAAATTTCTAAATAATGTGGTAGGCACCTAGTATCTTAATGAGAATGGCCTGGTTTATATCTTAGGACTAACTGGGTTTTCCAGGAATCCAAAATGTGTCATGGTTTCCATATGTTCCAGCTGTTTGTGCCTTTTGTAGATAATGTTGGCATTACATGGAAGCAGGATTTTTCATCTGTGTTGTTACGTAGGTGGATTTTTGTAGACTGCTGTATGTTTTACTACCACAGTCTGATTTTTAATTGTCTGTTTGTAGGAGAGATGGATCAAGGACGATGATGGGAGATCGGGATGGACAAGTGAGTTGCTTTATAAAGCTACAGAAACATCTTGACTTCTTATAACCTGGTTTTCTGTAGTGTGTGTCAGATTAAATTTCAGTGGTTAAGAATTAAATTATATCTCCCAGTATATGTATCGATAACCAGATTGTCTGGTTTTCTTTAATAAGATGAAATTTTGTTGAAAGACTTGTTTATTATAAAAGTTAGACATAGTTATTCTGGTACAAATCAAACAAAACAAGTGAATTGTGTCAAAAAGGTAGAGTATTCCAAAAGATTGTGTAGAAAAGGCAAAGGTACAAAGTATGCGTAAAATTCGCTCTATGAGGTTGCATGGAAGTAACAGCAAAGCTAGCAGAGATGTTTGCATGTTTTTGAGGGCTGGGGGAAAGACCTTCAGGGCACATTCAAGCAGTGAGAGATTAATTTTGTGGAGTCACAGAATCCTCAAGTGCCCTTTACTAATGGCTAAACTATGAGACTCAGAGCTGGATAGGCTGGAGAATTGGGCGGAGGGGAATATCATTAAGTTCAACAACAGGAAATGCAAAGTTCTGCTCCTGGGGAGGAGTAACCCTGTGCGGCAGTACGTGCTTGGGACCAACCAGCTGAAGAGCAGTTTTGCAGGGAAGGACCTTGGAGTCACGGTGGACAACAAGCTGACCGTGAGTCAGCGTTGCACCCTCCTGCCAAAGAAGGGCAGTAGCATCCTGGGCTGCATTAGGAAGAGTGTTGCCAGAAGGTCAAGGGGGGTGATCCCTCCTCTTTACTTGGCATCCATCGGCATCCTGTGCCCGGTGCTGGGCTCCCCAGTACAAGACAGGCAAGAGCTTACTGGAGTGAGTGCAGCCCAGGACCACAAAGAAGATTAAGGGCCTGAAGCATTTTTTGTATGAGGAGAGGCTGAGAGAGCTGGGACAGTTCAGCCTGGAGAAGAGGAGGCTCAGGGGTTATCTTACCAATGTGTGTCGATACCTCACGGGAGGGAGGCTGCAGAGAAGATGGGGCCAGGCTCCACTCAGTAGTGCCCACTGACGGGACAAGAGTCAATGAGCACAAACTGAAAACCATGAAATTCCATCTGAAGACAAAACAAATCACTTAGGGGGGATTGGTTGGTTGGTTGTTAAACTGTGAAGGTGGTCAAACTCTGGAACAGGTTGCATGGGGAAGCTGTGAAGTCTCCACCCGTGAAGATGCTCATAACCAGATGGGAGACTGTTCCGGACAGCCTGCCCTGGCTGACCCTGCTTGAGCAGCGGGGCTGGACTAGGTGATCTCAGGAGGTCCCTTCCATCCTAAATGATTCTGAGATTGAGTAATTACAGCTGAGCGACTTGAAACAATCAGTGAGCCTGTCTGGGGCAGTCCCGTAAGTGTTCTTTGCCTTTTAGCATTATCCAGATGAGCGCCATGGAGGACCAGACCGTCATTCACGAGACTCTCGGGAAAGCTGGGGTAGCTATGGATCTGACAGAAGAATGAGTGAAAGTAGAGGGATACCCCCACAGTCACGGTTAGTACGCTTAACTGAAAATACATTTTCTTGTGCATCTAAGGTGTATTTCCGTATGTGAAAGTGGGACGCAGTTTTTGGATGTACAGTTCTTTTTTTCCAGTTTTCACCCCTGAGTCTGTTCTCTGTTGGCTAGACTACAAATAGCTTGCCTTGTGCATCAAAACATGTATCTTGGCATGGTGGGGTTTTTTTTTTAACAACTTCACATCTGAAAGTCTTCATGTTTTCAATTAATTTTACCTAACATTACTATCAAAGCGTGATATTTTTAGGGTAGTGGTTCTTCCCCAGTTTGTGGTTGTTGGAAGCACCATCCTGTCAGCCCTTGGAAAGGAAAACAAGTTAATAAAATGCTTACAGACTGGGGGTGGGGTGTGTTTTGAGGTTTTGTGTCGTGGTTTTGGTTTTTAATAAGTCCTGTGAGCAAGCCAGCCTACAGAAAACACCAAAAATAAATTGACTGGTCAAAATAACAAGCTGGGATGTTTGGAGTAAACTAGGACATGAATGTACCGTAAACCAAATTAAGAAAATCTTATTTTCGTATTTGTCATGTTAGTTGGATTGAACAGAAGGCTTATTACTGAGATTTGACTTAACAGATAGCAATATAAATATAAGATTTGCACGTTGCTTGGTAAAGCATCTGAGTAAGTTTGCGACTTAGTTGTTTAGTCTGTTTTGTGTGCTGGCTAACGTGAGAAGGTATGAATTTCGTGCTTTTGCAGGGATGGACGTGACTGGGGAGATCACGGTCGAAAGTTTGAAGGGCACCAAGATCGTTCGTGGCAGAGCAGTGTGGACGGAGGAATGATAGGACGGGATCATGAGAGATGGCAAGGTATGCTTCCTGCACAGCAGCTCATTAGTTGTGCTACGTAAAGCAGAAAACACGGGCATCATTAGCCTTGGAGATGAAGTAAAACGATTACTGTGGATATAAAGGAAGCATTTGGACTTTTTTAGGTGGAGGCAGAGGCAGACCTGGCCATGTGATGCATCGTGGAGGCATGTCAGGGTAAGGACTTTAAAAAGAGCAAAGTGTTTGTTTCCCTTTTAAGGGGCATCTCTTCCATTTAAATTGGCCAAAGAAACACTTTCTGGGAGCATCAGTTACCTGATTTGTAATTTAAATGCCAAGGAATAATAAAATATTCCCATGTTTTTTATGTAGTACATCTTATTGAAGAGTGAAAAATTGCACAAAAAGTTTTAAAAGAACACCCATTATATCAACCTGACTACCAGAGTCACGGGAGAAAATTAAAATGTCTGAATCTCTTTCTAGGCGTGGAGGTTTCATGCAAGGTGGCAACCAAAGTCAGATGATGCATGGAGGGGGAATGCAAGGAGAAGGATTTGCTGGCCAGGAGAGAGCAAACAGACCTAATGATCCTCGTTTCAACCGTCGCTACTGAATGTGTTTTAATTTTTAATGCAAGGTGGCAACTGAAACGAATCTGTTACCCAGGGTTACCATTAATTGTAACTTATGGGCTACTGTAAGTGTAATTTTTTTTTAAGCTGCTGCCATATTATGTCACTCAATCCAATGTGAACTCATTTGTTTTGTAATGTGTTGTTCATATCCCATTTAAAATGTTTGTTAATGAAGCATTCCATTTTCCATAAATAAAAGCCAGTTTACAGGTAATTGCTTTGTTTCAGCAGTCCCTGGAAAACTAATTTATTCGGCTATATGTTAAACCACGTAACTTTCTTTCAAAGATGAAATATCAATGTGCCTTACAGGTGTCCCTTTGCGCTTTCAGTAGCGCACAGTTCGCAGAAACGCACTGAAATACTGTGTTACTGCAGACGTGTCAAAATGAAGTAGCTTATTTGCCAGCATGAGAGAATGTTGGTAGATTGCAGTTGTCGGAGTTTGAACCCTGCAAAATTGACTTACGATCCTGTAGGACAAGTGGAGAAGAATTTTTTTCATCTTGCCTCATGTTGGCAGGCACTGTGCGCCATAATACTCTTCACTCTCTGCCAAAGGCTACGTCCTGGGTTACCAGCACGGCTTCTGTAAGAGAAAATGCACGCGTACTTGTGAAAGTAATGACTTTCAGGGGCGAGTCAGAATAATTTTTGTTTAGCTTCTGCTAGATCAGGGCCGTCCAAAGCTCCACCCATTTCAGGCCAGTAATTTTACCTCGCAATCCATCATTTCCTTGAAGAGGTAGATTAGAAACAGCCATGGGCTGTGCTTTGGCATCATTTTAAGAATGTGTTGAGAGCTAACATGATCAAGACAGGTGCAAATGATCTGTCACTGTGTCATATCCAAATTAGAATTTGTCTTTGTGCAGTCATCTCGGGAGCAATGGCCTTAGCGTTACCCACCAAAGATGGCTTTTGTGATGCCAAGAGGGAAAAATCCCATTACTTTCATTAGTAGGGTCACTGTTCTTTTCCATCCTCAAGAGTATTTTTTTTTCCTCCATTGCCTGAAGATTCTTGGTTTTAATTAATTTCCTACAGCCTGCATTGTTATGGAAGGTGAAACTCTTCAGGTCTTTTTCATCAGGGTTGAGGCTGCCCACACTGGAGGAGGATCCCTGTGGACAAACCATCTAAATCCTAAAAAGCCACTTTGATTGCAGCGGGGAGTTGCCTGAGGCTGTGTGGATCGCACTGACATCAACCCCAGCACAAGAGTTAGGTTTTGGTTTAATGGTGAAGCTAAGGCCCAGAAGGACTCGAGTCATTTGTTCAAGAACACAAACTAGGAATGCAAACAGAGTAGATTTTCAGACTGCTATGCTCAGTAGCAATAACTAATAATTCTGTGGGTCTGGCTAGAATGCAGTGCCTCCTTGCTTTTAATCCTTTAGAAGTTCACCTCTGATACAGAGAAAGAAAATAAAAGAGCGGTGCTGCCCCCAGACCTGCTCTGCTTTGTCTTTCCCAATTCATGTCATTGACCATTAAGCATGAGGATGTGAAACTCCCAGGAGCTATAACCTGTGGCTGTCCCTGTTACCGTATCTGGGCCTTCTCCGCAGGAATTGCACGGAAACGTGAAGCTCCAGCACAACTGCCCTGTCCCTTTGTAGCTTTAAAGAGAGCGCCGTGGCTTGTCCGCAGCAGGTATGAGGCATCCCAAAAGGCGTTACAAGAATGCCCCTCCAGCCAGGGACAGCTCTGGTTACAGTGCCGCACGGTCATTTATAAGCACAAGGGATGTTGCCATCTCCTGGTCTACTGTTGAAGGAGTTTGGAGAAGTCAAAACCATCATGCCTATGACGCATACCATTGCATCAACAACCTACGTAGAGCTTGACGCCAAAGGGGGAGTATTTTGTCATCTGGGGAGACAATTACTCTAATTAAAGAACCTTTTTGACCACCATGGGGGAAAAAAACAACAAACCAATCAAACTGGAGCCTCTTCTTATCTCATGATGTTTACTGCACTGAAAATCATATTTGGCTTGGGACGAAGGCTTTTTCCCCACCAGGCTTTTAACTGAGCTGCATTTCCCTCTAATTCTGCTAGGTGGCCACGCTGCCCACACGCATGTTTCTGACCCGCTAGCAGCCGATCCCTCAAACCTTAACACCCAAGCCAGTGGCTGTGATCCCTGTCCAGTCTTTATGAAATCCCATGCATGGAAATCATTGGGACCGATTCTGGTTTTGGGGTTGTGGGTTGGTTGGGTTTTGCCTGCTGCAAAGATTTCTATGGGCTATCAAAAAAAAAAAAAAATGCACACAGCAGAGGTGGAGACAAAGCTAAACAGCTGCTCTCTGTTCCCCAATTCCAAATAAACTCAGGATAGAGGCAATGTGACCCAACTTTAGCAGAACCTCGGAATGTCCACGACTGGTGTAAGCAGGTTGCATCTCTGTGGTTAATGACTGCTGTAATCAACTGCTGTAACATGTCAAGCACGCAGGAAAACAAAGTGATTACCTCAGGTTTGCACAGGACAGAAATTGGGTTTGCATAGGGCATTTTTTTTTCAAACAGCAAATGTGAGTTCCCTGATTTTAAGAACTCCTCATTCATTGAAATCTTGCAGGCTAGAGTCCTTAAGGTAGTTCGAATGAATGAATTAATGTTACACTCAGGTGGGTTTTTTAAAAAAAAAAGTCTTGTTAAATGAAGCAAAACCAACCAACCAAGTGATTTTAATACTGCTTATGCCTTACTCATTAACCTTACTGACTGCAAACCTGTTGGGAGTCTCAGCAATGGAAGGACAACTTCCAGACCATCCCCAACCTTTCTGGTCCTTAAAATGAAACCAGGAGAAGCATGCAGGCTCTGTGATGAGAAAAGCGAAGTAATTGCATTCAAAGGAGGTGGAATAATCCTGCTAACTGAGAAGAAAAAGCCAGGTGTGTTCTAGCATTCAAGGCACTACGGCTAATGGTAATCTCCCAACAATGTCAGGCTCACACATGAAACCTATACCTGGCCTGCAGATGGAGAATGTTTGATGCTAACGAGCATGCAAGCAAGATCCTGAGCGTGTGCCTGTTTCCAATTTAATGGTGCCCTCCAAGGAAAGATCTAGTTACCACAGTGCAGCAGAGCGGGCTGTTTGTCCTGCCATGTTTGTCCTTCAGGATTTTGGTTCAGTGTTGCTGTCATGCCCTCTCAAGTTGGTAGTTCAGGTAAGAAAGTTTTTGCTTATGTTTGATCTCTGAAAGCTATAGCAACGTGAAGTGTAGCTCTTAGTGTGTCAGCTGCTGCTTGCTTTGCAAAAGAAGATGGGCTCCACCGGGGCTGGCTCACTGCATCGCTGTCGTGGGTTCGCCCCCGTCAGCAACCAAGCGCCACGCGGCCGCTCGCTCGCCCGGTGGGACCGGGGAGAGAATCGGAAGGGCAAAAGTCAGAAAACTTGTGGGTTGAGATAAGAACAGTTTAATAATTGAAATAAAATCATCATAATAGTAATAAAAATGGTAATGAAAAGGAGAACAATGAGAGAGAGCAACAAAACCCAGGAAAAAACAAGTGATGCAACTGCTCACCACCCGCTGACCCATGCCCAGCCCGTCGCTGAGCAGCAGTCGCTGCCTCCCAGCCAACCCCCCCCCCAGTTTCTGTACTGGGCACAAGGCTGTATGGTATGGAACAGCCCTATGGCCAGTTTGGATCAACTGTCCTGGCTGTGCCCCCTCCCAGCTTCTTGTGCCCCTGGCAGAGCATGGGAAGCTGAAAAGTCCTTGACTGGCATGAGCAGTACCTAGCAACAACTAAACCATCAGTGCGTTATCAGCATTATTCTCCAAAACACAGCGCTATGCCAGCTACTAGGAAGAAAATTAACTCTATCCCAGCCGAAGCCAGGACAAGCACCTAACAGCTCTGTCCAAACAGGGAAAAACATCTCCAAAAGTTGTGTGAGGTTCAAGTTTGACCTGGTTGTGTGTAACTCGGAATGAGTGGTCCGTGCTGTTAGCACAGAGGAACCTTCACAGCATCCAGCTCTTAAAAGGCCAGCCTAGCGTGTCCACACTAGAAGCCTAGCCTCTCTTTATCATCAGCGGAGGGAAACAGTTCCTAACTGTTTTGGAGGCTTTCACCAACTTTGGAAGTCTGTGTAAGTAATCTGATGCCATAGTTAAATGGCATAAATCCTCCATAATTCATGTTTACTTCGTAAACATACTAAACATGCTGGTGGTGCAGGGTGTTATCCGTGCGTCCTGGGAACTGTGCTGGAATGACAACGCTGCAGGAAGTGTGAGGATGAGAAAGTCTCCCTGGTGCCAACTCTCCTGCCTTGAGAAGGCAACTGAAGCATTTGTGCAAGCCAAGCTAGGATGCTTACTAAGTGCTGACATACAAGAGATCTGTATTCGCCTGTACACACCTTCATCTTCTTTTTAGTAAATAACTTGAATTACTTAAGATCATTCATAAAATACCACTGAGAAAGCATACTACAATGAAGAAGCTTTAGAAAGCAACCATCAAAGGGCAAAAAAAGTGGTACAGAAGACCATGAAAAGCATTGAGGACTGAAGTTCCAAGCACACCGGAGGCACAGTATTCTACCTATTTGTACACAGTGTGCGTACATAAACCAAGACCCTGCTTTGTTCGAAGTGATTATACTTTGTTTGTAGCAAAAGCTAGAGAGATGAAGACTCTCCCAATGACAGTGTCAGAATTTTCTTAGTGGGAGGTTTGGCCTGGTGGGATGGGAGAGTAGACACAGAACCATTCACCGGAACCCTGAACCTCGCTCTGCCTCTCCCCTTATCTTCTGGGACGCTCGAGCTGAGGGTGTTTACAGAAAAGACTTGAAGATAAGCATGGAGGCCATCCTAGAGACAGGAGATGACTCTTTTATTACTTCTGGAGACAGGAGATGACTCTTTTATTACTTCTGGAGACAGGAGATCTCTTTTATTACTTCTGGTGATTTGCAAGGTAAAAATTAAACACTGCTCTGGAAAATTAAGTCCTCTGTTTTACCAAAAAGCAGTGAAGGCGTAGTCAATGGTAGACTGAGCTTCCCATGCAGACTGACCCTTACTCTGTGGAGGCTGAACTAGATTTTATTGAGAGGTCCCTTCCAAGCTCAACGATTCTGTGAGTTGCAGCACGGCTACTATTTTAACAAGGCAATTTCTACACCGCCACTTTCTGTCTGCTCAGCAAAGGAATCTGATTAGCACCCTGTCAC